CAGGAATCTTATTCAAGCCTTTTCCAAGTGTGAGCTATCAGATCAGAGAGTTACCTTTTAAAAAACAGGTCATCAATTTTGTTGCTTTGTTTTGGGGCACAAAGCTTTTGAAGCATTAGGCCCTTTGCCAGTGGTGCTGACCAACTGCCTGTAACACTGAAGTTAAAGAAAACAAGGGTTTGCTTGCTTTTTTGGAATACTAAGCACTTAGACTTTGCTTATCTGAAGGTGTCCTTTGAGTTTCAAGTCTGATAGTTTTGAAAATAAGCTGCTACATCTGAAAATTTTCCACTAAGAAGGATCTCAACATTAAAAAACAAACTTAAAATGTGAAATCTCTCTGTTTCCATTTTACAAGCCTGTTCTTCAAGAGCGTGTACACCAAGTAACGTTAGTAATGCAAACTTTTTTCCAAAGATTTTTTAGTTAGAAGACTAGTTAGAAAAGTTTATATTCAAAAGTGTCCGAACACTAAATTTTAAGTGTATTTTCTGCAGATCGTTTATAGAGCCTTTAAAACCAGATCAATTCCAAGGATAGGTCCAATAACAATCTTCATAGTTCTATTAAATGTCCTGAAAAAACAAGCTTGACTTTGCCTGCACTGATTTTTGTTTTGAGCACCAGATGGGGCTGTAATCACATTTGTCTTTAACCTGTACTCTGTTCTTTCGGTGGTGGTTTTTGTTTTGATTTTTTGTTTGTTTGGGGTTTTTTTTATTTGTTTGTTGTTGGGTTTTTTGTTTGGTTTTGGTTTGGGTTTTTTTGTTTGTTTGTTTTTTGTGTGGGATTTTGTTTGGTTGGTTGGTTTTGGGGTTTTTTTCCTTTCCTCCACATGTAAACAATACTTGACATTGAAATTATTTAAAGACTCCTTATGTGAGAGAGATCTTTTGCTCCTTCTGGTTTGGACAAGGAGCTATGCAAATATAAGTCTATTGCTTTGGTAGCAAAGTTAGCATCTTTTCAGAATGCAGAGCTGGGCTTTGTGGAAGAGCCTGCTGAAGCACTAGCACAGGTGTGTCTCCACAGCATGCCATTGCACCTGTTACCTGTACGAGTGAACAAACACTATAGTTAGTATAGTTCATAAAAGAGACATTTTCAGTTCTCAGGGTATACCTGAACATCTGGAGTCTATTTACAGGTAAAGGGCAAATGAGTACAATAAAGTATTAGCTGTTTCAAGCTAACTCAAAGAGAACTCCTTTTTAGATCTTGCGTATGTCATTGTCATTTAAATTTTTTTAACGAATTCAGGAAAAGAAACACCCAGATATAGCCCTTGCATTGTGTTTGTGCTCTCAAGTTCTAGTATATGTTTGGCTGCATTCTCTTGTATGTTTGGCTGCATTAAACAATATTTTTCGGCATGTTTGCAAGCTCCTTGGCTCTTTTGTAATCATGTACATTCCTTTCTAAGCTTTCCTTAAAATATCAATCCATTTCTATGTCTATATAGTTACCTTCAGTTTTACTTTCTGCAGGGGGATCTCTATGTAGCTATCCTCTGAGAATACTTGGGAAATGATATGTGGAATAGTCTAAGATTGATTTGGTATGGCAAAACCTTGAAAACATTCACTTGAATAGCTTTAAGTAAATTAGTAAGGCTCTTACTGAGTTCAGGATGTTTGCAGATTCACATTTTTAGTTAGCTGTGGAGTATCTTACACTTTGGTGCACAAGTTTCTTCAAAATTCACCTTTTGATTTTGAGCTCCAGGACATCTATACTTTGTTCTAACTATTCTAGATGTTATCTTTTTTTTTTCCCCTCCTATGTGCCATCGAAAAATTAAAAGTCATTCATGATAGTATAGATAGTAACTTGCTACCTTGTCCACTTTAAAGAGGACATATAGGAACAATAAGCTGGCAGAGACAATAAAATAGTATGCATGTCCTATTTTAATCCATTGTATATAGAAGTTTAATTACTTTTGCTCACCCTCTTTTTGTTATTTTCCTTCATTTCTTTTGCATAAGTTTCAGTTGTTTGAGAGAATTCAGGCCTCTCTCCTTGCTATTTTGAGTCAGCAATATAAGGTTCATTCTCAGCTGTTGAATTCTTGGATCATATGTAATATAGCTCTGTCTCAAAGTTCTCTTGCTCTTCAGATGTAGTAATTTTAAAGTTGATGTATTTAAGGGTAGCATTTTAGCATATATATGTTTTGTTGTTGTTTCTCAGAATCCTCAGTGACAAACTGAGGGTTTGAGAACAATATATTTTCAGTATGTAAGTCTGCAGAATTATTCACTGAACTAAAACTTAGCATATATACAGAGATTATTTGCAAAGTTGGAACACAAGTTTGGTAGTGGACAAGCAGTTGTTTTCCTTTTAAAAATATGTATACAGAGTAGTCCATGTTAGAGTTATTAGATTTTTAATTCATTACATAAATGTATACATTCAATGAGAAATTAATGCTGTTAGACATTTTATTTAGATAGATGTTTATTTATTAGGCTTTATTTAGATTTCACAGTTTTCTGCTGTTTAGAGCAACAAAAATTTGTATAAGAGAATATAGTGCTTCTGGTATGAGGTTAATTATGCACAGTAGGTTTGGGTACATTTGTATTTTATTAATATTAGTATTTATTAACTTCAGTAATGGGGTATTGGACTGCTGTCCTTGCTCTGCCTAAAAAGGCAGGAGTCTTTTTAGAGTACTTCTGTCACTTTTTCCTGGTATTTGAATGAGAAACTTCTGCTTGCACCAAAGGAAAACAGTGAATACCTACAAGAAAACCAAGGCTGCATATGTGCCAAATCAAAGCCTACCTTTATAATAAAAATATATTTAACTATAATGTACTTGCTGAATATACATTTGGTATTTTTAAAACATTAAAAGAAAAAGAATTTTGGTAGAACTCTTTAAGAGTGAGCTTCAATAAAACTGTGCTAATGTGCTGTATTACTCTTGTTATTTTGGTTCGGCTTCAGTATGTCAAATTGGCCTGATTATTGCTGAAAAAATGGAATAGTTTTAAATTCAAAAAGTCATCATCATTTTGCATGCCTGTGATTATATTAACTTTTGTTGAATTATACTTGTGTTCTGTAAACTTCGAAGTCAATACCAAGCCCTAAATTACATTAAATATACATACACAATTTAAGTAGATATATTTACAACATATGCTTTTTCTTTGTTTTTGCAGGTACTTGATGGTATTGAGAATTATCGTAAAATATTTAATTCAGAAGGCTTACATTTGCCTGTCTTGACAATGAAGTATGAAGAACTACAAGAAGCAATTAAAAGTTGCACAGCGACTGCCTTGCAGAAGGGAAAAACTTTAGTTAATAAAGCAGATTCTCACAGGTATTCCCTCTATTTTTGCTTATCTGCCATATTTCTCTGTATCTACCAGTTGCTTTATAACTCGACTAGTTAGAATCAGACTGCAATTAAGAACCAGTGTAGTAAACTAAGTAGGTGTGCATTTACATGACCTGAAACACAAAGTTTCTGGCATACTTATTTGTTGGTATTTATATAAACCAATCATCTCTTTAACCAAAAATCTTTAGAAATACTACATGCTACTTGTGAGAGTGCTATAAAACAGTGGAATGGTATATTAGGGCAGTGTACAGAAACCATCGTTTAGTTAACATTTTTGAAAAGTAAATGTATGTAAACGAAAATTAAGATATCGATGGCTATGAAAACTCCATGCTGCCCAATGTAATCCTTTCTGACCTTTTTGAAAGTCATCATTCTAGCAATTATAGTGTGATTTTTGCAAGACAAAAAACAGGCATTAAGCCAAGTGCAGAAAATATGGAGGTTTCTCCTGTTCTTAGTAGTTTTAATTCATGAATGAAATAACTTTTTTTTTTCCAAAGCTTTTTTTAATCACAGTGATAATGTACTCCACAGATACGATTTTTGCACTAATTTAAAACATGAATTAGTTTAGAATTCTAGTCCTTGAGGCTTATAATCTCCTGCTTTTCAGGTCTTAGTAGAATTCTGGTGCAATAAAAATGAATACCACTCATATTACTGAGTTCAATTTCAAAGACAATGCAGATGAACATGGCTGATGGTTGGCTAGTGTTCACCTTAGCTCTACCTTCCCATTACATCCTTGTGTCCTTAAGTATTCCTGACTTTGAATAGCCTTACTTCAACACAGCAAGTGAAAGTGTAGACAAAATTTTAATTTAATCTCATGACCTTGCAAAAAATTTTATCTAAACTACTTTTACCTGTCAACCCAGATGTAATTGGCTTGAACCTAGCGAAGAGACAAAACAGGAAATTGAAACAGTTGTTTTGGGAACACGTGCTTTACAGCTGGCTTTACAGCTATTGTTACTGCTTCAGCATCTCCCTATATTTGAATTAAATGGGAAAAAAGGATTTTCTTCAGTGATTCCTAAACCAGCCATAATTCCTGAACACATTCTTCTATTCTCTGGGACTTGATGTTCTGCTAGACATTATCTCAATAGAAGCAGATGTTGTGTTTCAAGTTATTTCTGCACAGTATTAATTAATGTTAGGAACGCTGAAGACCTTGCTAGAATGACTTGTTAAAATAACAAGTCATTAATTTTCTTTCTACTGAAGCAGCAGTGATTTAAAGAAAGAGGGTGAAACTTAAAACAATATCGATAGGCATTCTCACTAGAAATGTGTGAGGATCCTGACTCACATTCAACTTTTTGTATACGATGACAAGTCTAGTTTATTGGGGGGTTTTTTTTGTTTTTTCTGTTTTGTTTTTTTTTTTTTTCCCCCCCCCTAACCCATGGCTCTAGGAGACACCAGGAATGCTCCCAGCCAGTTTATAAAGTAAGTAATGGTGAGCTCTGTCAGCAAATGTGGTAAGATGTTGTATACCAGAATATTAATTTCCACCAGAAATGTTCATGCTTTGAAAGGGGAAAAAGAGGTGCCTCTTTGTCATGTATAAACCACAGTGTTATCCTTAAATGCTGCCCAGTATTTAGCCCAGTGATTAACTCACATGGGACAACAAGATTTATATGAACAGCTTGAGGCTCAAAGGAGGAAGATTTGGACAGAAAACAGAGCTCCTATCAAGACTAAATCCCAATTAATATTTTCTACCCCTTATTTCACAATTCGTTGGTACTGAAAAATAAGCCAGACAGTTTGTATGCCTATGATAAGACTGTAGTAGTTTATGATTTACAAATACTGATACCCTCAAACTGAGGGAGGACTATGTTTAAGGCTAATCACACTGACTTCAGTGGCATAATTGCAAATCCAGCTTACAGTAAAACCAGAGAAGTATGATAATTCTGTCCTACTTTCAAATCTTTTTGAGGCATGTTGCAGCCTTATACAAAAAGATAGTCCAAATAAATGAAAATGCTCACACTGGAAGAGAAATATGGAAAAGTGACAGAAGGCAGTTCTTTCTCGTAATCCTAAAATGTTTCAAAATGGAAATATTGAAAAAGTCTGATTTTTGAGCACTCATTTTGAAATTAAAACCACCTGGAAAAACAGGAGGAGCAAAGATTTGGATGCATTAATTCTAAAAAAAAAAAATTATACTATTGGTAGGTTTTGTTAAGAGAACCGTTGTTACTTTGCCATCCCATTAGCTTGTCTATGATTGTAAGAACTGTTTTTGTTTTTCTTGTTACAAATTTATTGTGTTAACTCATAACGAACCAATGATACTTCCAAAAATTTTATTGAGATCTAAATTATCATTCTCAAAACCTATAAATCTTGTTCTCTTATTGCTTTTTTTAAGAGGATTGGTGCTAGTACATGTTTTTAAACATACATATTTTGAAAGAGTACTGAAATAGAGGACTGGCATTTTTAGGGTTTAAGGATAAAGCACAAACTAAGAGGTTGCTAGTTTTTGACAGAGTAATTCACAAAATTTGAAACCACTTACTCCCTGACAAGGACTTAAAAGGACTTAAAACTTGGAATTTCTGTTTATGGCCAGTTCTTTAATAAAATTCAAACAGAATGGCCTATTAATGCCATAATTCCTGTTAGTAGTCTAGAATAAAGTTTTTCTTTGAAGTTGCAAAGTTTAACTCTAAGCCTGGTCTGAAGTGAGGAGAAAATTTCCTTTAATTTTACAGGACAGAAGAGGAAACCTTGAATAAGTACCTGTATTAACATAAGTTTCTGATGAATCCTAAGTAATGAAAATCCTATTTTGAATATGGTTGTCTTACAAAAATTCTTACAATTAATAAATTTCAGTACTAAATCAATTGACACGTGGATTTCTTTTTTTTTAAATATATCAGAACTTCAGATCCTAATTCTGTGTGTTAACTTCTTTACAATTTGAAGACTGCCTCAAGTATTCAGATTGTGAATTGCTTCCCTGATATTAAATGTTTTAAGTTATATGACAAGCCCTTGTTTTTTAAATTTATGTGGTGTTTTCCCCTGTTAAAATAACATCTTTAAGAAAATGTTGACTTAGAATGTATAGACATTCTTTTTTTCAGCTACTGTAAAAACACTCGAATATCTGAAAGTCCAAAGAAAGCATTCTTTTTAAAGTAGAAGTGATATTTTCTCTCTTTTTTGGCTGTTATGTTACATTTGTGGTTTTAGTCTTTAAATACTTTAACTAAAGTCAGAATTATTTATTAAATGAGGTACTTCTCAGTGAATCAGGATATCTGGCACATGAATTAACATATGCATTGGTGATAAATTACTTGTTTGGAAATACCATTCATGTGTTCTACTCATCAATTTTCTTTGAATTAATTTTAATATTTCTCTCAGTTATTTTTCTTTTAAGGCTTGTGGTTTAAAATTCATGTTACTTGTCACACAAGTCAACAGGAAATGTGTTGTTCTTAATCATTATCATCCTGATTGTTGAGCAAAAATGAGAAATAACAGCAGTTCTAATTTTCCATTTTAGCTCTTGGGTGACAGGAATTCAGAGAATGATGGAATATGTTCAAGAAAAAGTAGATCAACTAATCAGGCAGGGTCCAGATTATAAAGAACTTACTTTGAAGAAACAATGGACTGCCTCACTTGAAGATAATCTAAATAAGGTACATCATAACATGTCATCTTAATGTATTAATGAACAGTGCATTACATGTCTGTAATTTAGCTATGTGAATATTAAAGTTAACTCAAATAATTACAAATAGCACAGTAGTTTGTTAGAGAGCCCACACTTGTAGTTAGAATTCTGAATGCTGTTATGAGCACAAATAAGCCTAAAGCTGCTCTGAAAAATACAGCTGTGTCTGTGAGAATACTTTACCAGTGATCTTCAATAAAGCATGGATTTGCTTAGATAATGAGCTACTATATCTGGAAAAGAAGTGAGCGATCAGGCCAGTGACCTGCATGCAGATTTCCTATATTGTTTCTATGACTTTTATTTCATTTGGTTGTAGATAAAAAGTATGGCAAAATTCAGGGTTAATAAGCATGATGGCTGTGAACCACAGAAAGTTTTCAGTAAGATTGAAGGAAAGTAGATTCTATTCACTGTAAAAATTCCCTTTATTCGTTAAGATACTGATGCATCAAAGACATCACAACTTTAAGCTGTTGAATGTTCTGTAGTAGTGCAGACCTTTTTAATGACTCATCAGAGCTGGAATCGACACATAGCTCCTAAATAAGTTTCCATGTGTAAATTCAAATCAAAAACTATAATCTTCTAACAAGATTCATATGAAGAGAATCCTACCAAGCAAAAAAACCTGTGTTTTTTTCCAATTTTCTGCTAATGCAAAGTATCCAAAAGATTTTGATGCTAAATTTAACTGCCCTTGAGCTTCATTTAATAACATTTGAACCTCAACCAGCAGCCACTTCTTAGAATATATGTTACATGTGAATTCACATGTCTGATAATAACTATACATACTATATCTGCCTAAGCTCTTCATAAGCTGAGTTGTTATAATCATGCATATAAAACATTTTACAGTGACAATGAAATGGAGTTGTGTACATGTATCAGCATAAAAATTGGTCTTTTTGCTTGGCAGAGAACCTTTAAATGTACTTTCTGATGAAAACAAACAACAAAAAAGCCCCACACAAACAAAAACCCAAACAAAAAGACAAAGCATAATACAAATACTTCTGCCAAGGTTTAATATCTAGGTTATAATACAGTTGTGCCTTACTGAAATAATAAGCCTGGGATAATATGGATAAAGGAAAGCACAGTTAACTAAATGAGAGTGAATAGGAGAGGTTTTTTTTCCTAAATTCTACGACACCTGTTAGAATTTTCTTTCTTTATTTTTTCATTCCTGAATTACAAGGTACATAATCTAAACACCAACAGACAAATGTTACTTCACTTTTTTCTATAAGAAGTCATGTTTTATGCTGTTGTTATACTGGCTACTTGTATAAATTAACTATATAAATAATGCTTTCAAATAAAGGTATCACAGTCGATTAAAAAAATCACCCCAATGCTTGCAGTTGGTATGGAGATTGGTTCATATTTGTCTGAATCAGAAAGAGTTTTGAAGAAGCACCTTGAACTGGCTGAACAAATAAAGGTAAAATAAAAAATAAGAAAAAAGAAACTTTAGTAATTTTAAGTATTATTAGAAATTAATGTCTTTTGTACTTTTAAATAAGGTGAGAGGCTGAGAGTTGCTAGTGTATTCCTGGAAAGGAAATAGGTCTCTAGTTTAGTTGTAAACTGTAGTTAATGAACAAACCCACAGGTAACTGTACAAGTCAGTATTTCTGATATCGTTGATTATCCCCTTTGTCTCTATCTCATAGTGTTATTTGTTACTACCTCAAGATCAGCCCTTGATAGGAAGACTCCAAATATGGATTTCTACTCCTATGCGAGGCATGAAAAATTATCTAGACAGTCAGAGGCACAGAAAACTCTTCTTTTGGCTTACTATGGCAAATAAAAAGGATGAACCAGCAAAAAGGAAAAAAGTAGTTCACGTGAAGAAACTTTGAAGGGAGCTGTAAGGGAGCTGTAAAGTTGCCATCAGATACCCATTGGTCATGTTGGGAATGCAGCCATGGTATGAAAGCACTGCAGCACTCAGCTCTATAACACAGCTGAGACTATATTTAAGTCACATCCAGGGCCTTTCCAACTCTGGTAGCATTACTACGGTATTTGAAAGTGGCTTAAAACCAGCTGAATCCTCTCCATAATCTCGACACACACACCTATTCTATGTTTCAGGAGTTCTTAAAACTCAGTTACTCGTATGGAGTTTTTTTTTGTTTCAGGCATCAGTTTATGAAACCCAAGAGCTGGTTCTATACAGGGTGCAAATAACTCTATAACAGTTTCTTGTGTTATTCTGCCAAATTTTTGCATGCCAGGGTGTGACTTTTTTTTTTCTTTTTTTCCTTTTTTGGTTGAAGTGTACTATCTACCCTGACAATAATAGCCTCTCCTACCTATTCTTTCTGTAGATTGTGATATTCTAGTTTGCACTCTATGGTGAATGGCTGAGATAGATATGCTAAGTGCTATTGAGTTAAATATATAGAAGTAGATAAGCTCATAGACATAGCTATATGAAGCTATGAGTTAAGACAGTGAATCTTAAAATCAGAATTCCAGCCAAACCATGGAAAATATTAGTAATCAGCTCTTTCTCAGACAATATACTGTGACTTTGTTCTGTAACAGGTGGTGCAGTATCAGATACGAGCCAGTATTTGGTCTCTGTTTTATTTTTGCAGATTTTTCTTCATGAAAGTACATTGGTTTGGGCTGGAATAGGCAGCTTGATGGGTAGGGACTAGTCTGGCGTTAGGAAGCAACTCCTGATTGAAGAATGAAGGCATGAGTGGAACTACGATTCATAAGGCAAAGTACTACAAGAACAGGCCTGAAAACAATTACAGCAGTAGCATTATGGTGACCAGGTGCTTCTGGGTCTCACTCTAGAGTGGACACTGAGCTTTTCAATGAGAATTGAGTATCAGACAAGCATTTAAGGTGGATTTGAACTTAATAGATAATTTCAGAAAATTGGTCTATACTGTTCATTGGAGGAATAGCATCAGTACTGGCTATTTACGTTTCCATATGGAATGCTTCTGTGTAACTGTGAGAAGAGTTTTACTTAATCTGAATACTGAGACTCCTACTTTTTTTTTTGTTTCATTCAAAATAGCTATTTTAATAACTACATCCAAAGTTTTTAAGAAAGAAATAGTTATTTTAAGCATATAATATTCAATTGAATTATTTATAAGAAAGCAATACTAGTGAAAATTAACAATGTGGTATCAATATTCACAAGTCCTTTTGAGTCATTATACCTATTGTTCTATGTTTCTACCCTCAAAGGAAACATCACATGAACTGGAAGCAGCTGAGAGATTCATCGAAGATATGGAAGAGTTTGAACCTGAGCAGGTGGCAGCTTTTTCTAGAAGAACTGACTTTCTAAGTGAAGAACTGAAAAAAATTGAAAAAAATATTAGTTCAAGACTAGAAATTCTAGAAACTTATGTGGCCTTTCTAAAGTCAACTATGGAGGTACGGATTACTTACTTATTCTCTGACTAGACTGTGAAAATACTACAACTGAAAATGTGCTTTTAGCTAGCTAAGGCAAATCCAGTAGACGATGTGCCATGGAAGCACTGCAAGTCTTTATAAGCTCCTTTCTGCTTTACAGGAGATAGCTCCATCAGGGCAAGCAACCCTGATCATTGAACTTGCATTAACATAATGGCTAGTCTATGTGCAGATTTTCTGCTGATTTAAATCGCTATTGTAGAAAGTCTTATAATTGAATTTTTTACTTCCTTCTGCACACATGTGCTCTCTCATTATATACATAACAAAAATACTTCCGTGTATGTACTCTGGCGTAAATGTATTGATTTTGCTTAATATAGTTTAAAAAATATTTCACATAATATGTTGCTATAGATATTTATCATATGTTGATACAGATTTTTATTGCTGTCTTGCATTACGTCCAATGAAGTACCTATTCCTCTGAAAGGGTTTAAAATTAAATATATATATACTGGTTTATAATATTGATGCAATGATATGTGACAGAAAGGGAACAAATTGCTGCCACCTGTCTGTTTGCCATCTACTAGCTTACAGGTTATTTAAAACTTTTTTTCCTATTTTTCATATTCATTATAGTTTTTTTAGGGAGGATAATAGATCTTAAAACCTTGAAAAAAATTGAGATGCTTTTAATCAGTTTTTTTTATGCCTATATACTTTTTATTATAGCAGCTCAATTTATTATTCTTCTATGTTTTTCTGTAGGTGAATGATGATATTAAAACTCTGAAGGAATTCTATAAATCAGAACCACCACAAACAAACAAGGAGGCTGAAAATAAAATCACAATGGAGTCAGCTAACAGTCAGTGGCAAAAGGCTATAAAAAAGATTTTTTCCATCCAAAATATGGGTTGCAATTTTCTTAATTTAATAAATATGGTGAGTATAATCTGATAAACTGTATTAAATACTTGATGTTTGCCTGTGATGAGGTCTAATGCTAGTTCTGTGACTGATGGATTGTGATTTCTCCAGTATCTAGTTTTAAAGGGACTAATGCTGCTATACACATTTAAAATATGGAAGTATTATTTGAGTGCTAATGGCATTATAAATAATATAAAAAGTTTTGTGATTAGCAATGGCAGAGCCCTTAAGAAATGATCCAGTACATCCCTACAAATAAAATACATGGACATATCTGCTTTGTTCATGTTGGAAAGCAGCATATATGCAAGTACATGTTAAATTTATTTTACTTCCACTAAGAGGCAGTCTTTACTAATTGAGTGTATGAAGTTCTTCTAAAGAAATGGGTGCTAGACCTACTTCCTTACAGATAATCTTTCCTGGTGTCTTTACATTCTGTCTTGGGTTCAGCTGTACTGCTTAGAGCATCCCTATCTAATTTTCCAGCCCTCCTTCATGAGATGATCATTTGAGATGTGCAGTCATTCCCTAAGTCACTCCTCCTAATGTGATCTCAGTTAATGTAGACAGCCTGGACACCCAGCTGTTCTTTCTGTTGCTATAGGACAGACTTGGGAGCAGTTACATTAGAGTGAGGAGGGGGAGATGGTGTTGGTAACACACAGCAGCATGCAAGATGAGCTGGAAAAACCTACTTAAGGAGGGAAAGTGCCAGGCAGCTAGTGTGAGCTAAAGTGTGTGCTGTCACAGCTGGATGCAGCCAGGCACAGATAAGATATTGAGTGTAAAGGCAAGCTGAATATGTGTGAATATGAGGTTGCACTGCAGCCACTTAAAGTCTTAACATATCTTCAGATATTATCCTTAAAGAACTGTGGTGCCATCATATTTTCTGCTACTCTGTTCCCATGATATTTTCAGATAGTAGCTTTTAAGTACCTGGAAGATACGGATCATACAAGTAATTTATGAACATTATGATTTCCTTTCTTAAAGGAAAAATTCTGAAGCGCGAAAAGCAAAACCAGCATTACCTAGTTTTGTGGTATTTCTGATATGGGCGCTGTTAAAAAAGGAAAAAACAAATGTTTGAATGCTAAACACTTTATTCCTCCCATGCTCCAGTGCTGCTTTGGCTATCGGCACAAAAGAGTGGTCTTTTTTTCATCCACTTCACTTTCCATTTGTGATGGCCCAAAAGGCCATTTTGGGTAGTTCTGTCAGAAATCATTTTGTATGAGAGCTGGAGTCTTCAGATGGCAATAATTCAGTCGTTACTTACCTGTTCTGTGTTTTAAACTTTAACATTAGCCATGTCCTCAGTATAGAAATTCTGTTGATCTGTGCATATTTCTAAGAGGAAAGTGTTCTTAAAGACACCTAGAGTACCAGAAATTTTCAAAGAAGCTACTCCAGAATAGTTTTTTATTAAGCTTTGTTGAGACTTTAGTATTATGAGGTTTTAATTGCATTTTATAAAAACATATGTGTAAAAAACGTGTCTGTTTGTTTGCCAGGTAAATAAGAGTTTAATATTAAAAGTAGAAAAATCTATACAAGTAACAGAAGATATTATCGTTAATCTGAGTAAAGAAAAGAAAGAGCTGACTGATCTTTGGGCAGTCTGGAATTTTAAAATTACTGAAGTAAAACCCGTCAAGCAACAGTACCAGATATTTAAAGAGCAACTAAAAATTGTAAGTAAATTGACGAGGAAGAAAGCAACTGTGGCAAACATTTCTACATTGTTGTTAGTTTGTCTGTGGCTGTCTCACCAATTATTACATGCATCATGTAAGAAAGAGAGATGATCAGTAAGATACATACAAGTCCAAGTCCAACTCCCCACTTCAGTCTGAACTTTTAATCAAATCCACATACTACAGAAGCAGTGCTTTAGGTTTTTTTAGCTCTGTGGGGGTTTGTTTTGTTTTTAAAAAGCACAGTTTTGTTGTGACGTAAGAGTTACTAAACCAAATTGTCTCCTAATAGTTACTAAGCTCAAATCCAACCACGTTCATAACAAAAGAAGATTGAAATCTCCTTGGCACAGGGATTGGTGTGCAGTGTTCCTGAAGAGCAACACTAGCTAGGCTAGCAGCAGGACCAGATGTTTGTAGCTGCTGTTTGTCTAGTGCAACTTATCACTAAACTATGGCATCTTTTATCACCGAAAGTATGTGTGCGTGGGTCCTCTGATCTTGGTGTCTGAATCATTTTTGCACAATGTCTTAAAGATTTCCTATAACTCTTGTCAGTCAGAGGGTTTGAGACAGAGAGGTTTTACTGACAGCATTTGGATGTCTCGTTACAAATTTCTTGTTACAAATTTAGAATTGAATTTGAATATTTTTTTATTATTGTTATTTATTTACTACAGATAGAATTACTGAACTCTTTGATTATATTTTAGACTACCCATGGATTAGAGATTCTTCAAGAGGCACTTCAGCTTGCAGCAACACTTGACCTTGGAAGTGACTCTTCTATTGTTTTGGAACTACAAAAAAAGCTTCACCAAATGAAACCACAGTATCAGGTGAAAAACTAAGCTAGTGAAGTGCATGGTAGATCAGAATCTCTTTTTGGCACAGTAAAGATTCACACTAACCCCACATAGAGTGTCTGGGGCTTCAGTGTTTAATGTTTTACATTACTTTTCCAAGAGGAAGGGTTTGTTTGTGTTTATAAGGTAAGAAAGAAAGACATTTTACCTTTAGTGTCCAGAGAACATCTTGTGCAGTGTTGGCTGTGTATTAAAGTGACACACAAGCATCAGGGTGGTAGATGTACAAGGAGAGTATCAGCTTCACACTTTTGAGTTAGAGCTGGTCGGAGGCTGAGGTACATCATACCGGTCTTCGTAGCACCTCTGAGTTTCAGCAATTCAGTCTGCCATTCCCCTACGCATCAGTTTGACTTGTTTTGATCCAAGGTTGTTTCTGGGTGATAGCTAGCTGAGATTCATGCCTAGCAACAAGTAAAGTGTGTGAAGAGTGTTTTACAGGGCATGGCACTGATTTTTTCCCCAAGGCAATTTACCATTGTTAGGTTGTTATTTCATCAAATCGTAACGTGAAACTTGCAAATATATTTGTGTAATGTAACTTGTTATTTTTTTTTTTTTTTTTTTGCTAGCAACTGAATGCTGAGCTTGAGTACCTGATAAAATTATTAGACTTGCCAAGTCAGAAAGGATTTCCTGTGAAAGAGAACTCTGAGAGAATAAGTGAACTTATTCATTTCCATCAAACTCTAAAGGACACAATGACAGAATATGAAGAAATTTTGAACAAGACAGTCAAATTCCATCACCTTACAAAAGAAGTGAGTATAATGTGTTTTAAAACACATTTTCTTCTCATTACAGCTAAACTCTTCTTGGGTTTGGTGCCTGTAATCTTTTCTTATTTTTTTTTTTCCCCCAAGCAAACAGCATTAACCTGCATGGTGATCAGAATTAAAATTTTGGATCTAAAATTGCATGAAATTTGGAGAATTTAAAACTCAGATATGAACCCAAATTTATTTACTTAAACCCATGTCAACAAATTTAGGGTAGCATATTATAGGTAAGGAAGGAATTGTAAGCTTCATTTCACATTATTTTAAACACACACTGGTTTTAATATATTCCAGCTGGAATGTCTATCAAAATCAGGAGAACTGGATATTCCTGAAATATGTGAGGCCCCTGAAAATGTGCATCATGCTAAAGCCTGCCTTGTGAATGCTCAGGAAAAGCATGCACATATCAGACAGCTATACAAACTACTTATTACCCAGGGAGTGGATATCTTGTCTGCAGTGCAGCAACCTGTGAGTATAATTAGAATGATCTATGAAATCAAGGATAAATATGTAAAAAGAATATTGGAGCTATCTGGATGAATTTTAGATGTACAAAATGTATTAAAACTCTGAGAAAAATAAATACAGAGGTTCAAGAAGCCTTTTAAAAAGCGCAAAACATAAAATGTAAAACTGTTGTAATTTTGGATTTCTGCTCTTAGAGTTTGCAGATATATAGTCATTAAATGAAACATCCAGGAATGATGACACTTATTCTTCAGTAGTTACTCACATTACAAATTGCTTTTGCCAAAAGAAAAGAAAAAATAATTTATTCAAAATCTTGCTTTAACTTTTAATGGTCTGTGAACTTATTTTACCCTGGAAAGTTAAAATAGATTTAATATAGGGAGGAAATTAATCTTAAAATATCATTGTTTGGAAGCAAGAAAGCATGACTTTCTGTTCTCTGGTATTCTTTGTGCAGTTTAAGACCCTCTTGGTGATTTCTTAAATGCCACATCTATATGTTAGATTCCTGCTACTTTATAAAGGTTGCTTTTCATATATATTCTCCTATAAAGAAAGAATAACAGAAGGACAAAACAGAAATATAATCCACCTATTAGTGGATGCAAGACTGATTTGCATGGCAAGATGTATATCGCTTTAGAAAGGAGTTAGTTATTCAGGGCAAGATGATCATTTACTAGGGAGAAGACATTCCCTTATGAGCTGCCTAGATTATCCACATTGGCAGTGTACTCTTCAGACTCCATAAACTGATTAACAGTAGAAAGGAGCTAACCTCCAGGTGCTAAAGGACTAGAGTAGGCCGATTCTTCTTTGATCAGAGATAACACCGTATGTGAGTTGTGAGATAACACCGTGAGTTGTGACTTTGACCCAAAACTACTCATCATACCACTAGTGATTGAAACTGCTATGTAATTGCTCTCCCCACGGTGGAGGTTTAGCCCTTTATGACTGGTACCACTGAGGGATATTCTGCTTCAAAATTATTTTAATTTTAAATTGGTTAAATCAATGCATTTCCTGAGTTTCATAAGTTTCTTTGTCTATTCCCTGTATAGAATTGCTTGAATGTTTCTGTAAAGAATCTGAAGCAAGAACTTGCTAGATTTGAGTGTGATAGCACTGACTGGAGCTCCAAAGCTGCCAAGTATGAGGAAGAGCTGTTGCAGCATTTCCAGCGTTGCACCACTCAAGAGGAGATAAATGAGGTAAATGAGATGAATTCCAATACATTAAATGAATGTTAAAAGGGCTGTTGTGTTCTGTAATACATGTTCCTGTCTATCATTCCCCCAGATGTTTCATATATCTATATATCTATATATCTATATATCTATATATACGGAAAAGTTGATTTTCATCTTACCAGCAACCTTGGATACACACAGAAGCAATAATAATCTATGGTCCATACCTCTGCAGTTAAGGATTATATCAAGTTGTTCAATGGGCAATAAAGTGCTTCCAGGGTATCATGAGAAACAGAACAGCTGTATTTTCTTTGACTTTCAGCTCTGACCGTTTAATCTGAAATACTTGACTCTTCAGATTTCTTTCTTATGAAGCTAAAGTTTTAAACAAAACTAGAATTTACATATATTGCAGTTATAAGACTATTAGAACTTTTAGTCTTTTAATGAAAAGTTCAGAATAATTTAGTACTTTGTATTTCCTCAGAAACCCAAGAAATGGTACTTTAAATAGAACAAAAGGAAATGTTCCTTGGCACAAGATATTAGAATTTAGTATTATGGAATTTAGGTTTAAAAAGATTAATTAGTTAATATGATTATTAATATAGCATTTTATAACGTCAAATACAAATTTATTCACAACTTAGCAGGTTGAATTGGGTAAGTATCAGCAAAAAAATAATTTAGGAAAAATATTCCATAGAATTACTTTTCTCAGAGTGATTCATTAAAACAAGAGGCTGATGGCCTCTACACTTGATGTTTTGTAGATTGCACTTCTGAGCATCCATGAAATACAGAAACTGAATTCTTACCTGGAAGGATTTCACACTAATGTTCCCTGTAGTGTGAACATAGGTAGTAGAAAGACAGGACACTGAAATTAATATTTTTTTAATTTTATCTTTCACTAAGTAAATCCCCACCTGAAAAAAAAAAAAAAAAAGACTATTTTCTCAAAATCACCAAAGTATAGAGCTGAATGAGATTTCTATCCCTCCTATTTTTAATGAGGAAATTGTTGTTTGGATTTTCTTTTCTTTTACAACATATTTTTGTGTGTCTGTGAAAAGCACCCACCTTCTGTCTGTCTCAAGTTTGAGGGACAAGTATGGTAGTGTCATGACTTACTGCATGTCCTATATTGCAAAATTTTAGGTTCTCATAGTTATTGGACTCTGCAAAATAATTGCATAGAATATTTTAAATTACAGTGGTAATTACTGATTTTTTTTTTTCATCATTGTAAGTTGAGAAAGCCATGTTGCCTTCTTAAGTTAAAACCTGTCATCCCCAATCCTAACTGAAGCTTGAATGTCAGCTAACTGAAATATACAAATTTGGTGTGTGGATACCTTTTTCTTAGTATAGAAGGTATTTCCTAAAGAAACACTTGACTAATGTATCTGTATATGCATTAATCCACTGCCATTTTTCTTCTTTTTTGGTGTTTCATTTGTTTTGGTTTTGGTTCTTTCCCCCCCTCCCCTCACTCCCCAAGTATTTGTAACTAATTCTGTTTAGGGATCAAGAAACCAGACCCAGAACTGCTTCAAGAGTGCTAAATCTACAAGTACTCACTTTAGTATTTTAAATTTTGTTACTTTTAACATCAGAAATTAGTTGGAGTATTGGTAGTATCTAGCAGACCTGTCTGAAATAACTATTTTTTTACCATCTATTATGTCTAGGTAAATAAATATTTCATGTGCCAGCAGCAAGAAGCAGCTGTTCATAGCTGTCACATAATAAGCAGACAACCAGACAATTTAGTTGTGATTTACCAGCGTACAAAGCAAACATTAAAGTTGACTGAAAATATTTGGGATTCTCCTGTAAATACTTTATTTAATTTACATTTAATGTGGTGGATTTAAACATGGAAATAAAGCATGTAAGCAAGGGCTTACATTGGTTAGGACTGAATGGTGTTTGCAAATATCATACTTAAAGGACTTGGCTAGCTCCTTGTGTTTGTAACATATCAGTGCTTCTACAAGAAGCAAATAAACATATATGTAAATTTTTAGCCAAGAATATGTAACATGAGTTTTGAAACAGTCTTGGAGGACAGAAGAGTAAAATGCATGCCTTTTCTGTGCCTTTTCTAATTTAAAGAAAATTAGTAGAGGACAAAAAATGGATTTATGTCTTGCACAT